CTCACTTGGGCCATAGAATAGATAACCCATCGAATCTTTTGGGTAGCCTACAAACAGGCAACGACTAGTCTTGGATTCCAACTTGTCTGCACTCATTTTTTAACGTGCGCAAGACAACCCCAAATCTTCAAGTGTCTGACACTTGGTTTCTTTCCGGTCCATAGTTCGTATGGAGTCCTCGAAACCAATTTGGTTAGAACCCGATTCAGCACGTAGATAGCAGTCTCTACTCACATGGTTTCTTTCCGGTCCAATGCATATCCCTTGGTTGCAAGGAACAGTGCTGCACTCTCTACTCACATGGATCCCGGGAATTAAAACCATTTGCAATTAGCTTGAAACTGAAAAATACCTATATATCATATATATATAAATTTTGCAAAAAAACAAATTCCAACGTTTGAAATCAACTGCCGGCAGTTTGGTTTCCATCAGAGAGAGTGCATCCCCGATCATTACCTTTGTCCGACAAAGGGGTTGATCCTGTCACTATGATCACCCACTCAGATGAATTCTCAGACTGTCCCAACATACCTAGGTTTTGACCCCCTCTAAGGATCTCACTGATTGGTATATCAAAGACAACCCAATCCGACACCTAGCAAAGTATCATAGTCAAGTCTAGGGGTCAGGTGTAACTTTCCAATTTTGCCCATCTATCTCCAAGGTTCAGGGCAATACTGGAAATCTGGTCCAGTTCAGGGATTCGAGTAATCCCATACTACATGTGCCTTGAGTCTTACCCTAGTGACCGAGACAGACCATCCCAACACTTGGTGGCACACCAGTATTAGCCTTGGCAGGATAAATCTCCCCAGACTTATCCAATGGCTGCGAACATTTAAAACTAACACGAGTCTCATTAAGTGTCCAGTTTTAGGGTCTCACACAGAATCATACCACACAACATGAATCAAACATGCACTTTATTTATTTACACTTGCAACAACAGATTGAGTGCCCATATTGACAAGAAAAGCAACCCATATTGACAAGAAGATATTCACACAACATTAAACAAGAATAAATTCATTTCAAAGCATATGGTTAACTTTCAAATGTTTCTTTGCTGGTGTTGGTATGAATTAAAATTCTAGTACTTCATCAACACTAGCATGTGGGCACAAATTCATGACAGATTGCATTTTCTTGGTCTTTTACAGGCTAACAACCAAGCTGAGCATATCTCCAATTAATAACTAATTGCATTCAATCTCATCCAAAAACCCAATAGAAAAGATTTCTGTTTCAATTGGTAATTTTTTGAGGAGTTAGAGT